TAACATATCAGCGGCTTTGCAAGGGGTGCTACAGGGGAGACGGCAAATTCCTGTTGATTTGCTCGTAGAAAACCTTATGGAGCACATCTAGTCTGTTTTATGTGGTTGCTCCAAGTTTGACAAGTGGCACACAACAAGTTTAAGAGGTCCATTCACTGTTTATCTTTACAGTTAAAATCTTGGTTTTATTTTATTTTTTTTAGTATCCTATTGAGGGCATTAACTCCTCAAAGATTCATTTCCTTAATAGAAAAACAACCATTTACAATCCCTCTCCAGTTTTTCACTCTACAACTCTAGTTCCTAAAGTTGCTCTGATTGCTCATGTTACACTTAAGGGAACTCGGGGGGTGGATAGGATAAGGAATTGAACTTTCAACCTGTGGACAGGTGCTTAGAATCCATCAGTTGCACTAAAATGGACAATCTCTTCCCATGCAATATACAGCCTTTGAAAAGACACCTGAGCATTTCTATGAGTTGATTCTGACCTGATGGCAATGAGTTTGAGTTCTGAAACTTAACTTTCAGTATTTGGTAAAATGTCCAAAAATTCTCCTTTCTTTTCTGAAGTGAAATACTCAGATCTGAATCAGTTTCCACTTGACACACACAACAACAATATCCTTTATCCAGTAAATAAAGAAATGGGGATATTTCACCTCAGTATAATACCAGAATGTGAATATTCCAAATTTACAGTAGAAATTTATGTTAGCCTTTAGAGTTCATAATAAAGGACTTCCTTAAAATGTTTACATGTTTCTATGAATTAAGAAATTATGATTAAATATAGTATCTTTTTATAATGAATATAAGGGAATAAATGTATACATTTCACTCATTTTGGAGATAAGTATTTTAACAAATGCCATTTGGCATGCAATTTACATTCTTTCTATTTTTTAGAAAATTATTTGGAGCCATTAGCTATGTATGAATGTATACACAAAAAAGGATATTCCCAATTTTCAGCCAAAAATCTATTATTTTATAATTTTAATTTAATATCATCCATTTTAATTTAATATCATCATTATAATAAAGTAATTCTTACTAAATATTATTTTCATCCTGTTCTTTATAAGAATATTTAAGTACTTATGTCAAATGCTATAATGTATATTTTTAAAAGCCTTTCCAGTATTTAAATTATATTTATGTTTTGTTGGAATTCTGGGCTATTTATAATTTGTATAAACAAAAGTTTATACTAATTTCCACACCTGGTATATTGTTGAATAATTCACATGCCATACATAAAGAATTTGTGATAGTAATACTTTTTAATAATTGAATGACATTTAAGTCTTCTAATTTTGATAATTCCTCTACAGCAAAGAATTATAAGAGTTTATAAATATTTATTTAGGGTAAACAATCTGCATTCTGCAGATGACACAACCCTGCTGGCTGAAACTGAGGAGAATTTGAAGCACTTGCTGCAGAAGGTCAAAGACTGCAGCCTTAATTATGAATTGAAGCTCAACATCAAGAAAACAAAAATTCTTACCATTGAGACTATTGGCAGAATCATGACAGACGATGAAGAGCTTTTACTTGTTAATAGCTTTAGTTTGCTTGGCTTCACAATCAACAATCTTGGTACCAGCAGCCAGAAAATCAATAAGATGAATTGCATTGGGAGTGTTGGCATCAGGGACCTCTCCAGATTACTGAAATACAACAATGTCAGTCTGGAGACTCAGGTATGCCTGATCCTGGTCATGGTCTTTGCCATTACTTGCTATGCATCAGAAACCTGGACAATGATTTGAGATGATAGAAGGAGAATTGATGCTTTGAGCTTTTGTGCTGGAAAAGAATACTGAATGTGGACCATGGGCTGCTAAGAGGAGAAACAGAATCATCCTAGAGAGGCTAAAACCAGGCTGCTCCTTGAAAGCAAGGATTCTGAAGCTTCATCTGATATACTTGAGGCATGCTGCAGGAGGGACCAGTCCCCAGAGAGGGACACCATGCTTGTGTGGGTTGAGGGACAGGGCAAAAGAGGAAGACCCTTGATGAGATGGATTGATTCCGTGACTGGGATAATGGGAGTAGGTATTTAAGAGACAATAATATTCGCACAGGATAGAGCAAGGCATAGGGTTGTTGTACATTAGGTCGCTACAAGCGACTCAATGACACATAACAACACAAACAAGAATTTAAAGTATCACATAATTTTACCTCCTCGTTGCCTATTTGGATACCTTTTATTCCCTTCTCTTGTCTTATTGCTATTGCTAAGACTTCCAAAACAATTTTGAATAAAAGAGGTGATAGTGGGCATCCTTGCCTAGTTCCTGTTCTTAAAGGGAATGCCTTTAACCTCTCTCCATTAAGAACAATGTTGGCTC